CGAACTGCCCCTGTCGTCCCCTTACGCGATGTTGTCCCCCTTTTGACCGGAGCGCTCTTGGCTGCGGGTCCCTTCCTTATCACGGTGCCATTGCTCGACTCACTGGACTCGCTGTTGGCAATGGATCTACGCGTTGTTCGTGTACCTGGTCGAGAAGTAGGCGCTCTTGAAGTAGTACTTGTTGCTGGTACTGCTTTCTTATTTCTGGTGGCAGCAGTAGTGCTGTTGGTTGACATTGAGCTTGTGGTAGAGTTTGTCGTCATCTTGCGTCCAGCGCCAGCGCCAGCTCGCGTCGCCTTTGCCTTCTCCACCATGCTTGACAGCATACCAGAAGCTGTAGCCGGGCGCTTCAGTGGTGAAGCTGGTCTTGCAATACCAGACTTAGTAGGTGATGGAGGCCGATTTGCCATTCGTGAGTTGGAGGACGTTGGCGACAAAATTTGCCCTGATCGGGCATGTGACACGTCCGTGGTTGTTGCAGCTCGAGCCCTCTTCTTAGCAGTCTCGGTATGCTCGACCTCGTTTTCCTTGTCTCCTGAGATTGCATCACTGGATCCTTGTTAGTTTACGAATTCAAGGTTTCATATTATGCATACCTCATGCGCTTCTTTGTGCGTGAGGCGGGTTTCAAATTATTTGCCGCCGATTGAATCTGCTTTGGCGGGCTTGCTGCCCATGTTGCTGTTTGTTTTCGTATAGAGGTCGATTTCGCGGCTCGTTGTTGCTCCTGATCCATGAATTTCTGTAGCAAGTCTCCCATCTTCATATTCCTCATTGACATGGGGACGCGGTTGAGTCGCATTTCGATACGGGAGCGAACTGTTGTTGCCATGTAATTGTATTGGGCTCTTAATCGACGAGCGCGTTCTGTGACTGAGAGGTTGTCAGCGGTGTATTTCGTGACAAATCAACAACCACATACTCTCGAGTTGCATGTTATCGATCATAGCTTGTTTTTGTTGCATCGTGATAGCACCAGGCGTTCGCTTTCTGATGGGGCTTCGTGGTTGCGCTGAAGGGCTCCCGCTGTACAGAGGAACATGTTCAACCATGGTCTTCTTGAGAGGGGACTCAGCAAGCTGCTTTTTGGAAATTACTGGAGCCATCGTTATTATCAGCGCTGAATGTGTTTGAAGACAAATGCTAAAAGGTGCTGAAATGTAACTGAAGTTGCAGTGGACTACCCCAGGCGCGTTGGTTAGGGGTGGAGCTCGCTGGAAGTAAACAAAGTATGTGGGTCTGAGCATTAGGTAAGCCAACTAGCTGTTCTGGCGCAAGCAATTGGTAGTGGTGGGAGCTGGGTATAGGTACACGTTGGTGCGCGGTGATCCCCGCAGTAACTAAGTAGCACTACTTCACATCATCAAGCTTAGTACCTACACTCCGCCAGGCTGAACTGCGTTACGACACTGGGAGCTTGACCTTCTCACTATCAACCAAGCTAAACACCAATATCAAACACTTCCTCCACGTACAAACTTGCCGCAAACTCCTATAGCTGCATACGATATTTGCACAGCTACAGAACAACAACAGCACCCAATATGGTTCTTGAGGCGGTTATGGTTGTCGTAGACAACAGCGAGAGCAGCAGAAATGGCGACTATCAACCTACTCGATTCGAATCGCAAGTCGACGCTGTCAACATCACCTTTCAGACCATCACACAAGGAAACCCTGAATCATCCGTTGGGTTGATGAGCATGGGAGGCAAAGGACCTGAAGTGCTGGTGACTCTCACCACTGAGCAGGGCAAGATCCTCGAGGGCCTTCACAGGACGAAGAAGAAGATTGGAGGCTCATCCCATCTCAAGACGGGTATCCAGGTGGCTACTGTAAGTCTCGAACACGGCTGAATATAGGGGTGCCACGTACTGACGTCTCTTTAGCTAGCCTTGAAGCATCGCCAGAACCGATCCCAACGTCAACGAATAATAGTCTTTGTCTGCTCCCCCGTCGAGGAATCAGAGAAGGAGCTTACCACACTCGCAAAGAAGATGAAGAAAGCCAACATTTCGGTCGACTTTGTCCTGTTCGGCGACCTCGATGACGACAGCACTAAGAACAAGCTGCAGCTCTTTATTGACACCGTCAAGACCAACGAAGGCTGCCACTTGGTCGTCATTCCTCCCAGCAGCAAGCTTCTAAGCGACCAACTCATTTCGACCCCCATCCTCCTCGGAGAAAACGCTGGTGGATCTGGCGGAGCTGGAGGCGCAGGCGGTAGCAATGATGAATTCGAGTTCGGTTTCGACCCTGCAATGGAACCCGAGCTCGCACTGGCTCTACGTATGAGTATGGAAGAAGAAAAGGCTCGGCAGGAGAAGGCAGCTCGCGAGGAAGAAGAAGCTGCAAAGAAGGCCTCACTGAGCGACGTTAAGGAAGAAGATGAGAACCAGGGATCGAGCAGCAAGGACCAAGACAAGGGCGGAAAGAAAGGTGACGGAGACAAGATGGACACTTCATAGTAGATTGCGGTCCAGCTCTGTCAACATTGCAGCAAATGTATAATAGACACAGGCTAGGGGAGTTTTAGACGACAAGAAGATTAAAGCCATTACGATACATGCTGATTCCGATTACTCCATAAATCTACCCAATACCCGTCTATCGATTATTGATCTCCCGGATGTACGAAAGTAGTTTCCGGTCAAAAATATCACACCGAATGGGCATTTCAAGAGAATAGAAGGGGTTCTTCATGACGTAGTCTGCATAGAGGTCATAGATCCTGCGGATAGTGACATCGACATTTGCTTGTGTTGTATCGGTGAAGAGAAGGAACTTTGTCCCTGTCATTGTGTTGAAGCACTGCATGCGGAAGTTTTCTGTCTCAAGAACCTCTAAGCCTGATGATGGCTCGGGTCTGTTTCCTGGCGGTGTTGCACCTGGTAGGTTCTTGACAGGATTGAGACGAGATGTAATGGCATGAACGCTGGAGATTGATGTGAGTTCTGACGTGCCCAGGAAGAGATTCGGGCAGCTTTTGAAGACTGAAGAGGTACCTACCCATGAAATGTTCCTGCGAGAACTAAATAATCATTTGTGCTGATTGTTTGAAGGCCTTCGTGGAAAATTTTGTTGTAAACTAAACCTCCGGCCTTGTTGATGACGATGAGGGCAAAGATAGTCCTGGCTTATTAGTACCTATCTTCATCACCCTTTAGTGTTCGGCCTCACATGATTCCTTTTGTGTGTGTATGATCGGTCTCTATCTGGACATGAATAGTTTGTTTAGCTTCCCCTGAAGTTCACTAAACCATCTATTTCAAAGAGGAGACCATGAACAAGGTTGAGAGATGAGAGATGAGGGATGTGGGAGATGAGCTGCGAATGAGAGAGTTAACGTCAGTCGCGGTTGTTCAGGGCGCTCTTACAGCCTGTAGCGATTATTCTCATGAATCCCGTCGATTCTAAGGGCCCATCGAGCTTCTTATCTTGCTGTTCGTTCTTCAAGGTTGACAGATTGACAAGCTGCCCTCAGCGGGACCGCCACGAGACTCCATCACTGAAAGCAAGTGCCTCTCCTCTGTTCAGGGAGGTACCTGGCCTAAGACAGCCCCACTAATTAAGCTGGGGTACGTACATTACATTGTCTTGTTCTTCCTTTCAGCCTCCGAACTTTGGACTCTTCTAGGTTCGTCTTTCAACTTTCAATAATTAACTCCCGACTTTTCTGAATCCGAATCCCACTCATTCACCGACTTCTCCCCAACATCCGCGCATCGAGTGCCGACACGTAAATACTACGCGACTAAAAAACCAGCTGAAGCGCATTCTATATAACTGCTCTCGCAATGGAGGACGAACAACAAATCCCAGCTGCTGCTGCGCCTAGGAAGGTTAACCACCCTCGCACCTCTCGACCCAAGCCTGCGGCTCCTGGTAATGAGGAAGCTTCCGCAGTTCTGAACCTTGGCGAGTTCCAAGATGTCGACACCTTGACGCTCTCCGAAGCTGCGCTGGTCCTGAATGCCCTCCACGCGAAACGAAAGAACGATCGTAGGAACGTCAACAACACCGAGTAAATATGCCCCCGTGGCCGTTAGATTGCGGGCGCCAGGACTGACCCTTGCTAGGATGCTGAACTCGACATTGACCTACCTCGACAACTTTGCGCGATTCACACAGAAGGAGAATGTAGAGGCTGTGGAACGCCTTCTTAGCGCACATAAGAACCTCGCCAAGTTTGAGCGCGCACAGCTGGGTACGATCTCCAGGCTTTACTAAAAGATTATACGTATCTTGAAAATACTGACAGGCTGTCTTCAGGTTCTCTGTGCTGTGAGGGAGCAGACGAGGCCAAGACACTCATCCCTTCATTGGCCGACAAGATTTCGGACCAGGACCTTCAGGATCTCCTCGATGAGATCTCTAAGCTCCAGAATCGATGAAAGGCTTACCTAGCAACAAGATCTGACTTGAAGAAATTTTTACCCAAGAACGGCATAACTTTTACAGATTGGTTATCACATGTCTATTTTTGACACCAAGAATGACAGGGAGACTTTGGAGGTGGGAGATAAAACTCGAGACTCGAGGATAACGAATTATCTTGCATTTGAGGCGCATAGCGGGGAAAAGGGACACCCCATATTGTATTCAGGGGATGCAGAGTCATCCCCTTGCAATTTTCCAGGTTTGATTTCAAGATGGCATGTTCCTTACCTGGACAGAACTTGGAACGCTTTGTTCTTGCACTACTTATGTTTTATGACAAAAGACTAATAAATCGATTTGCTTCAATCTCGGTGAGTAGAGCTCTGGCGACATGAGTTTGTCTGCGAACTTGCTGGCTTCATTCGTGATGTGGAAGCCTCCGATACACCAGAGAGTCATAGGTGTCACTATGAATTTCCCAGGGCCATGCTCAGGAACTCTGCTGATGCTGCTAACAAGTGCCACGGAGCAATAGTGGGCTAGAATTGCGTATGATTGTCACAGACACCACTTGCCTGACTTGGTCAACATATTGATATATTAGGAGTCAGAACTACAGTTCAGACAACTACCGTATCAATCGACTTGAGGAAATCCCGGGCATTTCCGCCAGCACTGCGATCCTGCTCCGCAACATGCCTCGAGAAAGCATCTCCCGTCTTAATCACAAATTCTGGGATCTTAACATTGCCCTTTGTCCACACAAACCCTTTGCCTCCATCAGCGGTCCTCTCAAAGCCACGCAGGGCTTTGGGCTTGTAGCTCGGAATTTTGCTCATGCGATACTTGACGCACGGATGGATCATCTCATATGTATCACCTATGTCGCGACCTTTGTCGTCCTTGGTATAGTTGCCAGGGACTCTGTCGACGGAGCCTCCGGCGATCATGGCGCCGGTGAAACTATCAACAATAGGCCCAGTTGCCCAGCCGCTGACCGTCTCCTCTGGGATTTTACGAACGTCTGCTTTCTTGATACCTGTGCGGTCCAAGGAGGCTGCGATGCGGCTAGACAATGGCCCAGGGCCGTAGTCCTTCTCATCTCCGGTTTGAATATTAGTTAGGAGTGGTTTGAGGAGGTTGTAGCGGTCTTGGACTGCTGATTTGCCGAGCTCGCCCAAGCTACCGTCTTCGACGAACTGCAAATAAGGAGCGACTTGCTCACACATCCAGGCGAATGAGATCAGTGCGATTTCTATTCTCGTCAGTGCCCATCCAGCAGCTCGAACATACAACAACTTACGCTCGAGATCACTCTTCTTCTCAGTAAGGAGGTCATCATTCCCGCCGCCAATGTTGATGTGTACGCCTGGAAACCATACTTGTAATAGTTCTGACTTATTGCCCTGGAGATGTTCATACATCTCACCATCAACTACAGCACCCCACGCATCTTGTAGCTGCTTTTTTGTTGCGCTGGAGTTCTTGTACATCTTCTCCCAGTCGGACCAAAGCTGCTCCACATCCTTAGCAGGCTTGGGAGGGTCATGGTCCTTGTTGGCTGGGAAGTGCCAAAGACTGGGCGAGAACGGTGCTCGATGTTCGTCCAGAGCCAAAGCATGGTAAGCATGCTGAATGTCTGTAAAGTTGTCAGTTTTGAGCTCATGAATTGCGTGAGGGGTTACTAACAAGGACTCAGATGAATGTTATGAAAACCAGGGTCAGCGATCCCGACGGCCTTCTCGAGGAACTTGAGATTGAAACGAGTCCAGGGCAAATCGGGGATACCCAAGCTTCCAACAGTGTCAAAAACACCGACAACCTTTACGAATCTGGACGACTCAGGGGCATCATGGTGAGGAGGACTGTCCCATTGAGACTGAATTTGGGGCCCCCCATTAGCCTCCTTCTTAGATGGCACACCGTTAACCCATTCCATGTAAGCTTGCGACTTGCGGAAATGGAAACCATCAGGATTCTTCTGGTACAGGGCGTAAAGGTCAGGGAAATCTTGCAGGTCCTTGGGACAGACAACACCAATATCAGTGACGAGACCTGCGACTGCACGAGCGGTATAAGCTCCTCGAGAGAAGCCAAAGCAAAAGATCTCGTCGCCAATATTGTAGTTCAGGACGATGAAGTTGTAGGCTTCAATAACGTTGCCCACAAATCCAATGCCAGCACCTCCTTGCCGATTGGCCTCTGCTTGACCAAGGTCTCCTGTTCCAATGCCGGCATCGTAGTAAACTACTTGCTGCCATACTTTCTCGTCTTTGTCCTTGCCACTGCGAGCAATTGAACGGGCAAGCCTTGTAACATTGGACGGGATGTTCTTGAGGCCTGATACCGAGGACTGCCAAGTACCATCACAACAAATGATGATGCGTTTGGGGGCTGCAAATGCATCTTCTTTTGCTTCATGGTGTGAGCCATCCTCGAGCGGAAGGAAAACTTGTTTGGGTTGAGGTTGAGAAGGCATGTTGATCAGTAGTGTTACTGAGAATGGATAGGACAAAATGCTTGAGTCTGGGCTAAATCATTGCGGCCAAGGTAGCAGTCTCTTGACGGGTCTTTTATAATTGCAATGCTGGGCTGGGCTGGCAGGCTGGTTGCTCGCACACTGCCTCGTACCCACCTGTCAGATTCTCTCTGCTTTGTTGCTGTATCTGAGCCTAGCTGAAGCCACAACCTGCTGTGTCTTGGTCGGTGAACCCAGATAGGCTCGATATACCACCCCTCCTCATCTTGGCAGGACATTGTGCAGGATACAAGTGTCGTGATAGGTCCCTGTCGACAACGAGGTAGTTGTGGTGAAACTAGTCCAAGCTATGACTGGTGATGTATGTACAGTCAGACATCGGCCCAGCTTGGTCGACATGCGTATCCTGCAAGGTAGCAGCGGGGGTTATGTACAGTACAGAAGTCCTCGGCATATAGTAAACTCGAATTGAATGGCTAGGGGAGGAAAGAAAGCACAGGACCTCGATCCTAAAAGACAAAAAGACTTAGGTGATATAGCCTAAGCTTAGGATGGCTTTTGCTAAGTTTATTTTGACACCCCACAGTAAGGTTTGCTGTTTTCTTGCCCCCCGAGGAATGGTTGCCATCATCTGGAAAGGCATAGTAAGACGGTGGTCAGCTCTCCCCCGTAAGCAAGCAGTGAGGTGATACAGCAGGGACGGAAACTCGCCCGATTCAGCCCCGTAGAGCGGGCCGCAGGCGGGACAGATTGAACTACCGAGTGTGTGCTGTCGCTGTCCAATAGGAGAACCTGCATGTCGATACGGTGATGAGAGGGGCTTTCACATCGCTCAGATCTGCGCGCCACCTTCTAATTGTTGCAACCTACTTATAGTTAGGTAGTATTCGACTTCCAACTAGCGACTCATATTGTACAAAAAGAAAGGGGAGAATGCAAAGTATTCATTCTCCTCACAACGCCAGAAAATGCTTGCGACATTGACCTCGTCAATTGTGAACACCTGAGCCCTCGAGACTTCCAAAAATCCATTACCCTTGATGCGCACCCTCTCCCAGGGCTTTGTACTGATTCCAGTGGTTGACAAACTGTTTTTGTTGGCGATCTTCAAGCGTGGCGTTGAGGTTGGCCCGAGGGTCAACAGGATACATAGTCGCCGGGGGATATTCAGCTGCTGCAGCAGGTCCATTTTGGAAAGGACGGTCTGGCTGGCCTGCAGCTGCATGACCCCCTGTCTGAGACTCGTTTGCTTGGGCGTCGCTGAAAGTGGCTGTCGGAAGCTCATGGACAACGTTTTCTGTGGCATCCATCTCAAAAGTGCCAGGTGGTGGGCGAAGGGGGTCGTCTACTCTGTCGATACGGCCTACAGAGTAGTTTTAGTACTTGTTTCGGAAAAGAGTCGGTCACTTCTGACGATGACTCTGATGGTGCATATCGATGAGACGTACCTCCAAATGGGGCGAACGGATCGGTGCTGCCCTTGTTGGCCTTACGTGACAACACCCGGCTGAGGTAACTCTTTTCCTCCTTCTCATCAAAGTTGTTGTAGGGCATGTCAGCACTATCAAGTTGCTCATCGGTATCCTTGCGACGACGAAGAATGACCACAACGAGAACTATAAGAGCCAGAGCCGCAACACCCCCAACCACGCCTCCTGCAATGAGGCCAATGGAAGGACCCCCAGAGTCGCTATCATCTGCTGAAAGGTTCGAGGCTTCTGTCTCAGTGGGGCTCTGGGCCGGCGTACTCTGGAAAGAGGCGGTTGGGACTGTATCGACTGCGGTCTCGGTGATTGATTGAATGGATGTGCTGCTGGAAGGCAGCTTGCTGGTGAATATAACCGTATTCTTGGTCACCGTAATTCGAATCGAGTTAGGAATTGTGCGAGTAGTACCCGAGTCTGTCATGGTCTTCGAGTGTGTATGTCTACGAGGGGAAGCGTCGTTCTCAGTATCGTCGTCCATGCTGGTGTGAGAAGAGGGCCGTCTTCGAGTCACGAGAGTGCTTTCGGTGTCAGAGTCATCCGAAGGAAAGCTCGCAGTGAAAATGCTCCCAACAGCAGACCTCACATCTATGGCGCTCTCAATAACAGTGGCCTCTGAAGCACTGCTCTCGGTGTCTGACATGCCGCGAGTTAGCCACGAACCGTGGTCTGAAGAATCGTCGTCGCGACAGCCACGAGGCCTGATGCATGGATCGTGAGAGCAGCAGCCTTTAAACTCAAAGTCGAAGTAGCTACATTCGTAGTATGCCTTGTCAGCGCGGCAATCTTTTCCATGGCGAGATTGTAGGCTTGTGGCCATATCGGCAAACGCAGTATTGATAGCGAGAGAAGCAAAAGGGCAGTTGAGGGGAAGAAAAGAATATTTGTCTGCCTGGGTTTCGCTCCCTGTTGAGTGTGATATTGGTTTGCACTTGTAGCCACCCCAAGAAGTTTCGTTTGATATACTATCGCAGTTTCCGTGAATCTGGGGAGAAGAAGATAATTACCTACGCAGGATTCTGTTACTCTGCTCCTAAAGAGGTGGATGATATCACCGCCGACTTGATAGAAAAGCACACAAGGGAACGGAAATCGAGGAATGAAAGAAGAAAGCAGAGAATCGAGGAGAAATGAAACGATTGCATTTGTGACGTTGCGCGCGGTTTTGGCGGGTTACGCCTGATACAATGAGAAGGAAAGGAGGCGGAGGCGGAGGAAGTTTGTCAGTTACCAGCTGCCAACAACTGTCGGCCAAACTTCCTCCATCATGACCACTTAAAGACCGATCACGCTCAAAAGCCATATTACAAAGCAGTACCTACCTTACTTGGGTACCTCATGCTCACAGCGTAAGGTACCTAACAAACGGCTGAGGTGCCTCCTACAGCTGAGTGACGATTTTTTTGTAGCAAATAGGCGCCTATCACGTGCAATAGTTTATTAGATCACGAACACGCCTCGTGAGAGGCGAGCAGTGTAGTAAGTTCGAATATGCTCAACTCGAGCTAACATGAATATACTCGGTTTATCATGGTTGGGCGGCGATGCTCTGTGCCTATAACCCATCTGCTATGGTAGTGAAAGATTGGCCGCCCGGTTGCGCCAGTCTCCCCTGAACTTTGAATGCCTCATCGAAATCCAAAGGCATCAATTGAGTGTGAGTGTCATTCCTCATCAGGGTAGTATGAAACGTTGAATCACTGTAACACTTCTAACTGCCATGGCAACACAGAGTTACGCAATACGCTTTAAAAAGCCACTGTATCTAGCGGCCAGACACTCTTCTGTTAAACACAGAGACGTCGTCCGAACCACAGTCGAGTGATATACGTAGTTAAGAATGTTAAGATCCAGATGCAAGTATGTATATGACATCCCATGGTGTTCTCCCACTTCTCTACGAACACCACAGTCCATTCCTCACAAACCCACATCCCAAAGAGCACCTATTGTGGGAGCGTCATCGACATACAGGTAGATAAAACCGTCGCTGCCATGTGTGACCCTTGCGGCGCAATACGGTAACCGTTAGTTATGTACATCGTTGCACAGCACCATCCCGAGGCGGCCAATGATTGCCTCGGTCGCATTTCCTTCGCAATGACAGCAATATGCGATGAAAATCAGTGCTGATCACTTGGCTGCAATGGGCAGTCAGAAAATGGATAGGCAGCATATCATAGTCCGTGATATCATTGTCAAAAGCACCCTAGTTTTATACGCCTGATATATGATAAATAAAGCACCTCATCTCTATCCCCTGTCCAATATCTTCAAGCTGTGTTTACAGCTTCTCCAACAAAAGCTTGCTACCAGCATTACCAACAGGCTTGTCGCCCATCTTCTTACCCTTCTTAGTTCCCTTAGGCGCAGTTTCCTGAGCTTCACGTGCCGCCCCCTGCTCAGCTGTCTCCTCTGTCGCAGCCTTCTCAAGAATCTTCTTATTCTTCTTGAGTGTTTTCTTGAGCGCATCAACCTCACTGAAGTCACGGGCCTCAAGGAGACCCACAACAACAAATGAGCCAGGGCCGGTGGCCCAGTCCATGATGTGTTCCTTGATGACGGGATAGAGAATGTTGGAGAACTCCAGAGGAGGGTCTACAGGGATGATCATGCCAGCTGCTTTGTCATATTTGCCCCCTTGGATTAACGACTTGAGCATGCGAGCGCCGTGAGGTGTCTGTGAAATGTGGATCTGGGGTTGAAGGTCGTCTTCGGCTGGCTCTTGGCTGGGGTCACCGCTGGCTGACTGAGCAATGGCCTCAAGAGCAGCTTGCTTCTCACCAACTCCCGAGAGAAGGACGTCGGTAATGAACTGGCAGCCAAAAGCGGTCGCGGTCAGCTCAGTGGGTGCCTCTGCAATGGCGGTGATGAGCTGGGGAGAAACAGCAGTAATGAGCTCGTTGCGTCGAACGTCCTCATCTTTCTTGCTTGTTGTCTTCCGGATCTCGTGAACCTCCTTGAGAAGCTCGACATCAAATGATTGGCCAGAAGGGAAGAGACTCTTGGCTAATCCCTCGAAAAGGTAGAGAATTGTTGACCTGGCAAAAGGGTTGTTGGCTGTTGCGACAACATTCTGGGCGATGTTCTCGCCCTCGCCAATGAGTTCGGGGAAGATGGTCTTGGCAGTGAGTTTGGTGTCATCGACGACGTCGTAGGCGGTAAGAAGGATAAGGTGGGCCCAAATATCGCCGGACATAAGGAGGTAGGTGTCCTTATAAGTCTTGAGAATCTGCTTTCGGTCCTTTGAGGAGCCATGGGCTAGGAGCAGGCATGTGAGCTTTGCACCATTACGAGTGAAAGCCATGTTCTTCAACAAGTCCCCGCTCTCGTCGCCCTTGACCATCTCGAAGAACTCGGTGAACTCTTCCGTACTGGCTTGGGTATTGGAGAAGTACTGGAACATGGCATCGTGGAGCATAGTGAAACCGGTCATCTTCTTGTTGACAAGAGAGCCAATCATGTCAACCAAACTCTTCATAATGGGGCTGCGCTTGCTGGGCTCGGCTTCCAGGA